ACCCACCTACCCGCCTCCCGCTCATCTCCTCTGACCCGAATCCCATTCCCACCTCTCCCCCGGGCAGTCTTTCCTTGGCAGCAGCTTCATTTGCTCGTGGTTCGTGGTCTTAGGCCCCCCCCCAGGGCTCCCCTACACCCTCCCCTACATCCTCCCCTACACCCTCCCCTACATCCTCCCCTACACCCTCCCCTACACCCTCCCCTACACCCTCCCCTACATCCTCCGCTGCTGCCACCGCGGCCTGTTACGCCAGAGGTGTTACAACGCCACCGACCCACATCACCCACCCATCTCCATATCACACAAACACCCCCTCCGCCTCCTCCTCCTCTCCCCCCCACCGCACACACACTCCCAGTCCTTCAACGCCCCCCTTCTCAACCCTCCCCCACGCCTGTTTAGATATCCAGACGTGTGTCGCAATGCCCTGGACCCACCGACCCACATCGTTATCACTAGCTTCGTCCCCCCCCACGCCTCTCCCCAACCCCTCCCCTCCCCCAGAATCCAAATCCACCACCCGGGTTACCTCCCCGCCCCCCACTCCGCTTCTCCCCAGTCCCCAGTCGAGAGGTGACCTCACACCACCTTTAGGTGAATCCTTTCGGGCCTCTGTCGTATACTTCGCACCTGTCTGGCGGTTGTTTTCTGTTACTCTGCCCACGTGAATTCCCACCCCCATCGATCCCCCATCTACCCACCCCCACATCCACCCACCCACCCAAGTCCCCAAAACCCTAAACCCAACCCATCCATCCACCCAATCCCCCCCGTGCTTTCAGTTCGCTCGGTATCCAGATGACAACCGCCGACCCACATCGCCGAGCCAGGGTCCCACCTGTAGTACTCCGGATCCGTCGTGGAGATCTCCCGGCTCCAGTCGTACGAGAACCCCAGCGCCTTGAGCTGCTGACGAAACCGCGTCACGTTACGTTGCGTGGTTACGGCCGGGTGGGTGCCGGTCTGCAGCGCGTACTGCTCCGCGGGCAGCCCAAACGCGTCCCAGCCCATGGGGTGCAGCACATTGAAACCCCGCATGCGCTTGTATCGAGCTAGGATGTCGGTGGCGGTGTAGCCCTCGGGGTGACCCACATGGAGGCCGGCACCGCTGGATTTGAAATTTTTAAATTTTGAGCGGGGTAGGGGGAAAATATGAAGGGAATGGGTCCCGGGGAAAGGAAGTGAAGTTGGGGAAAAGAAGATGGCTGACGACTCGGGTAAAATAGCAGGCAATGTTTCTTTTTGTAAGTTAGATAAATGGTATTTTAGTTGGGAAAAAGAGCTGCACAGCTGGTGTGAACTTGGGACTCTGATGGGTTGCAAGGCGGCAGGGGTACTGTGTACCGTCACCAGCAACGCAAGCCAAAAAGCAAGTAAAGCCAATCAACCTGGAGCTGTTGGCTACCTGTCGCGCGAGCGCGTGTGTAATCGAGGTGAGCAAGGAGAAGAGCCGGCCTTGTGGGTGGGCTGAAATTGAGCACCCGTACCTGGGATAGGGGAACATGTCCAGTACGTAGTACTTGGGTTTGCTGGTGTCCACCTGGTCTGGCGTGTGGAAAGTCTGATTCTGCTCCCAATAAGCCTGCCATTTCGCTTCAATTTCTGTGAAGGGATATGCCTGGGATGCTGCAGACTTGGCATCGGCTTGCGTCGCGGATGCGGGCGACGGGGCCGCAGGCGCCACGGCCTCCACCGCCTTCGTGGGCTGAAGTCCGCGATGATGGATAGGGCCACTTGCTGCAGGCCCTCGCGTCTGGAATGGCGAAAGAACAGAGAATGCCTTGCAGCGAAGCGAGCATGGCCGAAGCAGCAAAGACTGAGCCAACCCAGGGCGAATTGTGCGGGATGAAAGATTTGAGGATGAGAGCTCATTAGAAAGTCGGATCGACATTTTGAAACGCGACCACAAGGGCCAACCTCAGTTTGTGGCTATTTGCACACAAGTGGCTACGAGCAGGCCACTGTATTAACACTTCCTAACCCAATTACGTAAACATAGTATAGGATAATATGGTTCACGCGTGAGACAGGTTTGGTGCCCTGAAAAGTCATGCCACGGATGCTGCATTTTGGCGCGTAGCATGGGCATCATGAACTGTCCGGACGAGCTACTCTGCCAGCAATTGAGCAGCGAAGAACCGCATACTCGTGTGTAATTGTAATCTTTTCTGCTTCTTCATTGTCCTAAACCTTGCCAAAGATGGGAAGACACTTATGTGACTAGATTTCCGCAACGCCCCACAATTACGTGCGTGCGACCTGTTGAGCCATGGCGGCGACAGTGGATGTTGGGGATGAGGGTCTTGGAGAGAGTACAACAAAACAGGTGCGACGGGAATAACCTGGCATGTCGCGTGACAGCTAACGCGCATCCCAACATCCTCAACCCCTCCGGACTGTGAAGCACGTCGTTCGCCTGAACGCCGTCCAACGTTGCTTCCTTAGATCTAAGAAGGTTATCCGGCACGTGACATAACGTAATACATATTGCCTTTGGCGGCGGGTTCCGAGCCTGTTCCAGCCAATCAACGTGGGTGCTGCTTGCTACACATCGAGTTCTGAACTTGACTCCAAATGCTCCCCCGCCATCACCATCACCACTGCACCCTTACAACCTCCCCCTCCGTCATTGCTCCACCCGCACACCCAACCCTCCCCAAACCCCCTCCACGCTTCCTCCCCACGCTGCTAACACAGGTCTTCAGCTCGTACATATGCCGTACAATAACAGACCGGGGCATGCCTCACCCTGGCGACGTCGCGGAAGCATCCTCCCTCGCGTAAGGCCCTTTTAACACAAAAAACAGCCGTTGCAGCAGCAGCAACACTAACACTAACATTAACAACAGCAGCGCGCCTTGGCTGCTCTCTTGAAGGAGATACGGGGACGGAGATGTGGGGAAAGAGGGAGAGGGGGAGAGAAAAAAAAGGGGGGAAAGAGGGAAAGGGGGAGATGGAAAAGAGAGCATCACCCGCGCGCTCTGCCAGAAGCACACAGCCTCCCTCCCACCGGCGTTCCAGGCCCTCGCAACAACGAACTCGCTCAGCTATCCTTGGCCGCCGAATGTCTAGGTCCTCTCGTGAAAACAGGGAGCATTCCTTTGTGCGGGGAAACAGGGGAGGGGGGAAAAATATTGGTGGGAGCACCGGAGCGCGAATCTGTCTGTTCCTTCCGTCTGCTGCTTTCCTTCTACCGCAATCTATCCGAAGCTTTCCCCACGGACCCATTATTCCTCTTCCTCCTTCTCTTCACATACCTCTTGCGACTCTGGTCTTCTCCTCCCCCGTACACTCTGGCCCTGGCAGCAGCTTCACTCGTTTGTGGTTCGTCTTCCTCCCACCCACCCCCCGGCACCGAGAAAACAAACAAAACCCAATCAAGCTGCCACATCAGCGAAATCCCCCCATGGCTAGTTGGATACGGATGGTGCAACCTCCCCTCCTTTCTTCTTCCTCCCTCCCCCCCACCCTCAGCAAGTAGGTACGTCGGAGACGTCCGTCGGCGGTCGACCCCTCCTCCTTCATCTCCCCCTTTTCATCTCATGTATATTTCCCTACGGAGCCGCTCCGTCTGCCACCTTCCGGCCCACCCCTCCGTCCCGCCTGCCCGCCTACCTGCCTTGTCCTCTCCCCCTCTCTCTCCCCCCTTCCCGCAGTGCGGTCCCCCTCCCCCCCTCGAGTTACCCCCTGTGGGAGGGGCTCCCCCCCGATCTGGTCTCCTCCGGCAAGCTGTCCACTCTGCAGCTGGAGGGCGTTCTGTACGCCTGCACCAAACACTGCGAACTGCTGCCCAGCGGAGAACGTG